CATCTCTGCCTGACTTCTCGCTCCCCTCCCTCCCCGTCCACGGCTCCGTCCCGGCCTCAGATAGCACCAATTACAGCCTTTAATAAGAAAACTACATCGAGAAAAGCAAGTGTTCACCCAGCTCCAATGCAGCATGCCTCATTTAAGAGATTAATACACAGGCAGGGCTCTGCAGCACAAGAAAAGTCAGTCTAGAGGAATAACAGCTCAGTAAAGGAGGTCATTCATGTGCAGATCAACATGTAAAACCCACTGCTGATGTTTTCTGCTGATTTCTTTCACAGAAATAACTTCACAATTTAATCCTTCATGCTGTGCACAACATTGACATATGAATGTTTCCCATTCTTCCAGAGTAATTACTCACAGCTCATTTTTATTTAAGCACACACTGGAAATTAGTCCTCCACAGATTTCTCAACAAACAGCCGAACTTCCCAGTCAATGTTATGTCATATTTCAGCGCCGCACATGGACTCAATGAAAACCAAATGCCGCAGCAGGTTCCCGTCATTGATGATTATATGTAGTGTGATTACTCATAAAGCACAGGGTCATTTGCATTTGTTCAAATCAATTAAAAACGGCCCAACAGAAAGAGAGCGGAGGGTGAAAAGAACAGTTTTCAATAAACGACCACCATGTTTATCAGGTTGTAATAAAGGAAAAGGAATATTTAACACACATCACTTGTGACAAAATAATGAAATCTCCTCATGCTGCTGTCAATCACCATAACAAAATCCAGTGCTTTATGTAAACTAACTCATCTATTTTCATGTCATGTGAATAGAAATCCGGCTTAACACAAGCTTGATCTGAAGTGCACATTGATCCCGAATCATTAAGCCGACAGATGTAATCACAACCAAAGGCTCTGGTACACAGATGGAAATCAATTACCATGAATATTGCAAAAAAAAAGAAAAAGGCCCTCACAGGATTTATTCATCTCATGGACATCTGCTATTTGTTCTAAATCAGTCTGAACAGTTGTGTGTGATTATTGAAGGAGATTAAAGATTTCCTGTGTAAAAACTTATTTCGTCAAAAGCAAAAAAAACAAACATTTCACTTGTTGCAGCTATTTTTGTTTGTGCCTACGCTAAAGGTAATTCATCAAAATACAGTTGAACAGCGCGCTTCCTGAGAAATCATGTCGTGACTAAGGGAGACGGGAACCTGCGGACTGGACTCAGGGGACGTCTACTGCTTAACTATCAACACCAGCATTTTCATCACGTCCTTCACTTGAGCAAATTACCATATCAGCAGCATGATCCAAGAGCGGTCCAAGAAACCACAATCTCTGCTCCTTCCGACGCACAATTAAAAGATGTCAAACTCGGTTTCTTTTACAGTGTTTTGGTCCTGGCTGTCAGCTCATCAAACATTATCTTAAAGAGGACTCATTTAGCAGAGAAAAGAGACTGGCCAGGTTCGGTGACAGCTGAGAGAGGGGGGCTTGGTGGCCTCGGGCTATGTGGGTAACCAAGGAGCATAAAAAAAAAAAAAAGGGAACACAATGAGAGGAGCAGTGATGGTGGGAGGGTGTGGAGGAGGAGGGAGACTACAACTCCGCTCTCTCTCCCTCTCCTGGGAACGAAGACGCTGGAGCTCCTCCACACAGGTATCATGTTCAGCAGCTCCCTCGGTATGGTAGGGCTCAAGTCCAAAAACTCCCCAACTGTCTGCCTCGGTGCAGAGAGGTGGAGGCGCCATGAGGTAACAGTAGCAGAAATGCCAACAGGTGAAACCAAATATTCAAGTCAAGCTCGATACTGTTGTTGTCGTCATCTCACAGAATAATGGCACAAAGCCACTTTCTACCTGCTTTTAACGTAAGAGAAATGATTTGCATGATTAAGCATGTTACAACAACTTGGGACAAACGAGTGAAGAAATACAAGAACTGATACATGTACGTTCCTACCTCTTTTTTTTGGTCTTCTTTTTCTTGTGAAATATGAAAAGTGAGCAATGGGGAGCCTGAGACCAATGAACATTGCAGACATAAATCAACCTCCTACATCTTGACTCTGACACAACATAATGGACACACTGTGTCCCACTTACAAAAGCGCAGCAACTAAGGGGCCACTGCTGGATCCGCTGTAATAGCCTCGACTCTGGGAGAAAGTGCCCTGACTTCTTTAGATGTCAATTCGCTGCACCTGAATGGCTGATCAACTGCAGAGGGGGAATACACTGAGATAGACATGTTGAGTGGTGTGCTCCTTTACCCTGGATGTGGCTTTGTTTTTTTATATATATCTATATATAAACCCGACATCTCGAAGGTCAAAGAGCAGGACAACTCAGAAATCAAGGCACATGATGCAGCAGCTTTGTAATTTGTGCCACTTTCATTTTTGATTGACAATGAACAATGACAAAAAAAAAACTCCACAAGAGCGAACCGCTGATGATTGTTTACCAAATCAAAAGCCTAATGAAATTAAGCTCTTGAGAATAGTCTAAACAACATCACAGCCTATAATCTAACATCCTGTGATGTGCATTGTATCACAAGCAATGCTGCAAATAATTGTTTTTCATCTGCTTCATTATTTGTTAGTCGTTGAGTCTATAAAATGTGAGAAAATAATTGAAGACATAGTTACCCGTAGCTCAAGCACAATGTGTTCTTCAAAAATCAAAATTTTTCAAAAGGCACATTCAGATTTCCAGAGCCCCTCTGGCACCTATAACCTGGATTTGGTTGCTGGAAAAAAAAATATATTTTTTTTTTCTAAATAATACATTTTCTTTATTTCACTTTCTTGCGAAGAGTTTATGAAAAGATTGATCCCCTCTAATGTCGGGAATTTCATATGAAGCACCTGGAAACAAAATCCACCAACCAAAACTACAAAATCTCACTAAATCACATTTTTAACCTTGTTTGTTTAATACGTATTGAACCCAAATTGTACGAAGACAAATCTGCTTCCTTGAGTCAGCAAAGGTTATCAAGTGACTGTTGAACTTCAAATCAGCGAATTTCCCAATATGTCTAACTTTTCCTTTAAGTAAAACAATGTCCTTTATGCATTTGAGTGTTTACAGACAGGTGCAGTGGGACCGGAGGGTCCCGGAAAGAGTGTGTGTGAACTGTGGAGGGAATAATTAAGCTTCTGTAAACTCAACTGTGTGGTCTGAAGGAGCAAAGAGCGGCTTTCACAACCTTCTGACAACTGCACTGAGGCCTGCAGATCGTCCATACGATGCTCATGCACACAGGTTTGCTCCCCTCGTCCAGCAGGTATGTGAAAACTGGAGGAGCAGCGTCAACACGCTGTATGAAAGTGAGTCGGTGGCATTGTTAAACAGCAATGTGAATTAATGAGACGGTACATAAAACTCGTGAGCCTACGAAACAATAATGACACCTCCCACTAGCAGGTCGGCCGGCTGAGCCTGTGCAGTGCAACGCGAAATGTGCACTCACGGCAGAAAAAAGCAGAGAAAACGACAGTGAGATGAGGCCCCTTGTGGCCACGAGTGGATTCAATCAATCTGAATTAGAGATGTGAAGGGTTCCAAGGTTTTGTCTTGTTTCAAGTGGAGAGGGGAAAAAATTGAAAATTGACCTGGCAGCCTTCATTTAGTGACAATGTGCTAAAGTATCATAAAGTATGATGGGTATTCATCACAGTGATCTGCACAAGCAGGGGCAATACAGTGCCACAAAGGTTTTCAATTGAAAACCATAATACTCATTAGTGTAACACTCAACATCAGCAGCAATCAGAAGTTGCATTAGCTGCGAGAGGGCGCCTGGACAAAATTACATCCCTGCAATGACTAAAGTATGTACAACTCATGCTGGGGAATGCAGTAATCAGGCCTGCTGGACCAGCTTCAACCTTTAAAAGAATGAATAGGAATATGGCTATACGGCCTCCTTTACACATCAACTGCATTATGGCGACATTTAAGTGGTGACCTGTTCAGTTTCTACAGTTTTCTGCGCAATTTCATTTAATCAGTGTAAGTATCCTGTATGATAAGGGAGGAAAAGAGAATAGGCAGGAATGCTAAAGAAATTCACCTCACTATTCTGTATAAAAAGCAGAGATATGAAACATTTACAAGCAAATAATATAGCAGTGATTTGAATTTATTGGATTACTTGCTGAATTAAAAGAATAATTAATTTATCTGAAAAAGGGAATTTAAGAAAACATTGAAAGGTGGAGTGTGGCTCTGACTTTGGACAAACAGAGAAGCACTTTTTTCTCTGCATCAAAAATTATCTTTTATATTTGGATATAGAATTTGGGTTAATTTGTACTATAATAGTTGTTTGTAATGAGTGTAGATTCTACACATTATTTTTTTTAAATAATAAAAAATAATTACAAACCATAAAATATGCTATTTTTTTTTAGCATTTTTCTCTTTGAAAACTACCAACTATTATTAATTGCTTTAAATTTTTCTGTCAGTCATCTAATCATTTGATCAACTAATCAGTTCAGCTCTAGAACACGAGTCCATAAATTAATCCATCACTTTGTACCAAGCTGAAATATCTCACATACATTTTTGTGAATTTTGTTCATGGTCTCCAGAATATGAACCCTCCTGAGATGAGCAATCACTTGGCTTTTCCTCTAATGACATCATGACGTTGACTTTTCTGTTTTCATTTACATAGCTTTATATCTATTTGACATTCATGGTTCCCAGAGGATCAACTGTAAAAACTGAATTTTCATCATTGACATCTTCAGGTCAAATCTTCCAAAAAAAGAGCAATATTCTTCAATAACGTATTTTTGACTGCCTCTGGTTTGTGCTAATTAGCAAAACATTAGTATGCTATTACACTAAAATCTATATTAACATTGTTAATCAACATTTTTTCTTTTGTCGTTGTTTGTCTCCTTTTTCTTATTTTGTAAAATCTCTGACCTCTGATGCCAGCATTGAATATTGTGTCCACATTAAGTACAAATATATTCTCAAAATCTTAAAATGAACGAAACCATGAATGACAAAACAAGAATTGTTGTTTTATTTTCTTCTCGTCAACAAAACTCCCACCATTCGAGGAATATACAAAACCATTTTTTTTATATTTTCAGTCTGAAGTGCTTCAAACACATTGGGAAACGTTTTAACAAAAGATCTTGTAAAAAATGTCTGTGATGGAGAAGAAGCCATGTTTGTCTGCACGTTAGTGGACGTCCTATCACCTGTGAAATATTCTTGCTACGTCACACAATGTGATTAAACACATGAGAAAAAACAGGACGTCTCACCCTCCAGCTGCACTCTTCTCCTCTACTACTGTATCAGCTGGGAAACAGACAGGCGTATTCCATTGGAACCTATCACTGCTACACCAGTCACTATACATTTGTAACACTCTTGAATTAAAACTGATTGTGTCACATTAGGAGAAGCTTCCTCTTGGTTGCAGCTAAAGTCTGTGATGATGTGGGCTTTGTACAGACAGGGCACAGCACCTGTAAGTTGAGAGGGTGGGCTCCAGGCCGGCAGCATCTCACGTTCTGATCAGGCCTGCGTTGCGAGCCTCTCAATGATTCTCCTGTAGTCTTCAACAACAACCTGATAACTCTTCTCCAGCTCCTCATGCTGCGTCTGAGTGTCCATCTGACCCATGTGGGACACCAGCTCCTCCGGCCGCAGGCACTTCCTCATCTTTGCCAGCTCCCTCTGGTTCTTCTGTAAAATAAGAAAATAAGTACATGTCATTGAGGTTGTTATATATATCAAATTGACAATACTAGTACCTGCCTGTTTGGAATGGGCTGGTTGCTTGACCTGTGGAGTCATTTCAGAATTAATCCTTAATATTAGTGTGCCCTCCTCGAACAGTTCTGCAATATGCTGTCATTTTTTATTGCTTGCATGCTGGACGTGTTTTATAAACAGCCTGTGGAGCAGCACTGACAGCAAGGCCCTGTTGCCTGTTTATTCAAATTTGATTTATATTGAACGTATCACACGTCCAAATTGCACCAAAACACTGCACTTCAATACACATGCCAAGTGTGAAGTCATTGAGATGAATGGTTGTCGTAATATGAGAGCCAGATGCAGAGATTTCTGGAATTAGTAGATAGAAGGTAGATGAGGTGAATAAGGTGTATTTTTTCCCCATATACATGTAGGTACCACTTATAATAAGTAACAAGGGCCTATCATTTTTACCCTATACTTTGTAGGAGAGAAGTATATTCTTCACAACATATACATTGGTAGATAACGGTATAAACATTTGTTAAGTGCTGAGAGGTTTTGGACATGGATGGACGCGTACACGTTCATTCAGTCCAGTGCAATTTGCTGCTTGTATGCATACACATGCAGACATGGTCAGCAGGGAATTGGGGGAAAGAGCAGAAAATGTATAATGTCCCTCACATTCACAGAGCAGCAGTCTCTGCCATTCAGCTAACAACACACTACATCTCCTCAGGGAAGGAAAAATGGTCTGCATCTGGCCACCAGATCTTTCCTTGCCACTCTCCCAAGGAATTCCTGCTCCCCTCTCCACCACATAGGTCTTTTCCATGTCAGATTCTGCCCTGTTTTTTGAGACGTGCGGTTTCCCCACTGACAGCTAATTCTCTAATGGCCGGTATGTGAAGTCTTGGCGAGCAGCTCAAATATAAAACGTCACGAGCAAACAGGATGCAGGGTGTTATGTTGGTGCACACAGATCCAGCCAGTATTTCCCACTGACAAGTCTGGTGAAACAGAATCAAAGATTATGATATTCTGTTCCCTAATCTTAAATCTGTTAGACTACATGTCTGAAAAGAAAACTTTCCCTAAAAAATATGAGGAAAATAACACAAAAAAAGCGATTAGATAAAATTGCACTGTTTTCCCGGTGCAGTTCAAAATGCGCTGCAATAGTAAAGCTCAAGAAGTCTGAATAGTGGAAGCTTTTTGACAAAGTGCTTTAAACACACTTTCATGAAAATTATTTCTCCCAAAGAAATGCAAATCCCGACTAATGATGTGCCTGAATAGAAAAAAGCTCCAGCAGCAGCAGAACCACAGGCACCAGGAGCACCCTATTGTGGCTGAAACAATATGACACTAATAATCTATCAATTTTCACAGGATCAAATTTTAAAGTTCAAATTTGCGGCTGTTTTAAAAGGGTGACATAATAAATAGTAACAATACGGAGCTGTAAGCCATTTAAATGTGTGCTGTACATGGGACGCTTCACTTCCTGCACTGAGCAGCTGCAATGTTTTGCTAACAAACGACTGGATTCTTGTTTGACAGCAAATTTATTTGAATACATGAGTAGATCTCTCACTCTAATCTCGGACTGCATCCAGATTTGACCCTCTCTTCATTCACATGCTGCTCTGAAGCTGTGACGAAAGAATCCTCACCCTGTATGGTCCAAATAGCCTCTTCTTCACCTCCAAACGGTACTCTCTGGCTTTTTCTTCATCGCTCATGTCCGTGGCTCTCAGACGCAGGATTTCGTACACACGCCTCGCATGTTTCTGTCAAAGAAAAATCACCCACCAAAATTAATGTATGTCAGTACGCTTCAACAGGAAGCTACCACACTTCCTTGCACAATGGCTGCAGGAAATCATAAGCTATTCAGGGTGTATAATAAAATCAGGCATCTGCACATTTGTTCCAACAGCAAAGTTTTCTCAAGCCTCAACTTTTCTATTAATATCACTGAGTCCACTGAGATTGATTATCAGCTAAGGAACTGACATGAGATTTATATGTATTTTAAGTCAAAGTTGCAAAATTTTGAAACACAGATAATAGTGAAAGTTCTTGTTTTGCCATATGACAAGAAAAGAGATAAATTAATCTTGATGTAAAAGCTGAAAATCTAAGTTCTGATGACATTTTAAAGGCTCAGCTAATACAAAACAGATGAATTGATAGAAAGAAAATGACTTGAGCTGCAGCTTTATGTGGCACCTTGTTGATTTTTAACTTGTCTTGAGCCTCTTTGATCATGTCAGCTGAGAAACCCAGGTGCAGCTTGTCCACTGCGAAGGACGACAGGCCCTGACAAAGTTTGACCAACACGTAGTCTCTCAGCTTCACGTAGTTCTCAGAGGGGTCTTCAGCTGCAAAGGTCATACAATTAAAATGTGTTAACTGTGCTGCTCTCGTGGTTTGTAAATCATTTACGTGACACATGGTGCAATTCAGTACATGTTCCTGCTGATATTGTGGCCAGTATGTATCCAGAGTTACAGACATATTTCAAGATAAAAAAGAAATTACTTTTCGTAAACAGTGAAGAACTAGAATGGTAAGTACAGTACATTGCAAGCCCTCCAAATTAACTCACCCCCTGGATCCACCAACCACAGAGAAAATGTATTTAAACTGCACGTGGGTGACACGAGGATCTCAGATTAAATGTTTATCCACTCCTCCTTCAACACAGTAAATGGCATTTAGAAAAAAAATAAAATTCACGCTCACCTGTGATGTCTTGCACTTTGGGCAGGCTGCAATAAAATCTGTGCACTGCCTCCAGGAGCTGAGCTCCATGACCCTCTCCTTGGAATGGAGGCAGGATCAACATTTGGCTGTTAAGTTAAAGGGTGGAAAGAGATACAAACAAAATCAATGAGGAAACAAGTAAAACACCCATAAAACTAATTTATGAGGCATCTGAGTCGTTGTCCTTTGATTAAAAGCAGAAAACAATAGATTGTTATACTGATCCATCAATGCATCAAATCAAATCACATCAAAAGCTTATCTATAAAGTTGTTTTCAGATACAAATCACCCTGGTTTGGTAATGAAACAAAATCTGGCTGAATGCATGGCTATATAAGCCAGTAATTTGGGCTCTTTGGGAAGAGGATAAAGAAATGTATAATTTTCCACTCCCTTTTCATACAATAGAATGGGACGGCACGTGCTGCCCCAGCAATTACCTTACACGTGGTCGGGTTTTGTCTGGGTACACGTAGTAATTATAAACTGTCATGTAGCCAACAGTTGCGTAGAGAGTCTCCCCATCTTTATTGTACTTTTCAAATCTGCAGAGAAAACACAAAGGCAAACAGGTCAATTACAGGCACACTCCCAATCCAGTGACCATTTTAGCCCGCGTGTTCCCCTGCCCGCCCTTCACCCCCACAACGTCAGCGTGTTAGAGTAGCCAGGCCCCGATTGGTACACCTGCTACAACCTGAATACATTATGCACTTAATTGGAGTACTGCAACTTAGAGGAAGAGAAGGGGCTGGAGGAGGGACTGAGCTCCTCAAAATCACTTCAGTCCATTTTCCCTATTGTCGGTATTAATAGGTGCCAGGGTAAAGAAAACACTGGCAGAGGCTCTTTTTACTGTTAAGACATTGTTCAGTGTTTCAAAAGACAACAGTATTCAATTCAGCTCTTGCCCCTGAAAAATCTGAAAAGGGCTTTCGGCACAAAGGAAGCCTCTTGCCTGATCAACAATTCTCCTACAGGGGAAATATAATCAAACTGGCCGGGTAATTGGTCACAAGCGCCTCAAAAGGGGGCTTTGTTTTTCAATGACACAATAAAGGCTTCAGCATAGGGGTGGGTGCGAGAGGGGTGGTGGGGGGGTTGATGTCAATTAAGAAGGGCACTCACACAAGAAAGAAGTCCCAACGATCGTCGTCTGCGTCGATGAAGCTGGCAGTCTCTATGAACCACATGAGGAAGGTCTGCAGGCGCTCGTGGTACTCTTGGAATCCTGGGCAGGTGATATCAGCCTGGGGCCAAAACAGCACAAAACAAACATTTGAGGCGGATTAGAGTTAATTCTCACCCCTCCTGTCTGATTTAAAACTATTACAAAAAGTTAAAACTATGTTTAGAATCCAAACTGCCTGATCACTCAAGCCAGGTGGTAAGTGATGTTCCTACCTTGTGAATCTGGTATGTGAGTTCTCCGGCCTCCTCGCTGTGGACTGTGTACGTGTGAAGCTGAGTGCCGAAGGGCTTGAAATTGGCCTCTTTCTCCAGGAGTGAGATGAAGTCGTCTGTGTTGCAGGTGAACCCAGCAGGAACGATTTCACGGACCTTCCCTTCAACCTCATCAGGCTGGATAACGTCATGTGAATGAATTTATAAATTTAAAAAATAGATTAAAAAAGGGGCAAACTATAGTATTATTTCTTTGTTAAGCTGCTTTCAGACATGCACTGAACTTCCTGAAATTATCCTGAGGTGCTGTATGTGAGAACACAAATAACCAAGTCATTTGCTGCGGACCATCCCCACAGCCAGCCTTCCAGTAAAAACTCTGGATAATGTCCAAATGAGCCCATATAGGCCATGTCGGTGATGTTTAAACTTATAAAAATCAAAGAATTAAAAAATCTCAGGATGATAAAGAGGTGCTTTATATCAACATGCACCACCCCATGCCAGAACATTCGGGACCTTCTCCTGTTGTTGTGATCGTATCTGACCTTCATGAACGCCTGCTGCGTTGATAATGTTCGAAAGATAAAGTCCAGAGAAAGTCCAGACCTTGTTATCCAGACATTTTCCGGAGTTCCTGTCTAAAAATAACTTAAGACACATGTTTAAATATATTCTGTGACATACAAACCGATTTCATGTTCACAGAAATGACTGAATAAATTATGAAAGTCTGCAAAAAAAAGGTAATATAACAGTGGAAGCTTACATGTTTTGTGGTGATGAAAAGAAAACCATTAGGCAATTAAAACTGTCAGCTGAGCAGAGACCACAGCAGCCCCCTCCCCCTCTCCCGGTGAAAAGACCACTTAAATCAGTACATTTACTACTTATGTTAAACCATGAATATGTGATGAAGTTGCCACAATAAAAGCATTTCTGCGTCTCACTGGGAAATAAAATCTTGTGAATTGATCTCAACTTAACAAACCTTTGGGGCCATCCATAATAGAGGCCTCTCCTCTAATCCTGCCAAGTGAACCCAATCAAATGAATTTGCCCCTGCGTTTTTCAAAGAGCCTCAGAGACAAAGGGGCCCTACCCTTGGACTTTTTACTCAGTGCAACGTGTGGTTAGTTCAGCTGTAATGTTTGCATTGTATCCATTTCCACAAGGATTGACATGAGAACACTTTGCTGAGCAGCCCTTTCACACCATTTACATGTGTGATGGGCATTATTTCGGCACAGAGACCCTCGCTGCTCAGCATTGAAAACTGGGAAATGAAGACGGTCTGAGCAAAATGCACTACAAAAGGCTAATACAACATACTGCTAATTCCCCCCTTTCAGACATCAGCTAATATCTAACTGGAAGTAATGCACCTGCAGCTGAATGCCTCTTAACCATTGTAATTGTTCAGCCACATTTCTAAGGAACAAGGAGCATACTTAAAAGGCCATGGACAAACAAGTCCCTTTGTCCGGGCCACTCTCCTACATACTAGACACTAAATTGCACAGCCTTCCAGAATAGATGCCTTAGTTTGGCATGAATATAACTTAACAATCTCCCTTTAGAACACTTTGTTAATGTCTTTGATTTCCAACAAAAAGAACAAAGGGGCAACAACCTATCTAATTTGTTGTGTTGGTATTATTTTCTTGCCTTAATCGACTTCAAAGACCAAACCACGATCAAGATTTACAGTTATCTTTCTGTTCGTTAATTTTTAAATTAATTTAAAACTTGGAACATGTTAACAACATCTGCATCTAACCACTACAAACACCACAAAGGCTCTGGCACTAAGATCAGCATTTTGTATGAGAGGTGCAGTCGTACATGTTTTCGACTGATTTAAAGGAAACAAGGTGATATTTGATTATCGTCTCGTATCGACATGGCAGCTGCATAAACTCCATCTCTGCCTCCCCTCGCCTCTCTTCTCTCACCAGCTGCACCGCACCCCGACCATCCATGCACACTCAGAGACAAACACTCTTCAGACGCAGCCTGAACTCTGCTGCTCCCTCGCTCCCTGCCTCTACAGCAGCTGCACTCAAACCCTTAACAAGGTGAACACTCAGGGGTCAACGCTCAACAGTGAAGCAGTAGCGACGCAGAGAGAGCGAGTTAGCCATTGCGTTTCAGTTTGAATATCAGCTTCAAACTACGTTCCTAAAAAAGTCTAATGGCTCTCTTTATGTTTAAAAACAGTAAATTGGTTCCTTCTTTATTTTGGAGTTGCCAGAGATGAGAGTGATGTGGTGCTCATCACTCCCAGATCAGGCAGCACCAGCACTGTTATATGGGCTAATTTGTAATCTGAGTGCATCCACAGAAATATCAAATCCTGCTCCCACTTCCACCAGTTGAAGGCCACATTGTCCAGTATGGGGCCCCCTGCTGTCTCTACACAGGACAGATGTCCCTGAGCTGAATCATCTGACCTCAATAGGGGCCCTGGCTAATTCTTGCACGTTTTCTGCATTGACTATTTCAGGAAATAATCAAAGCAGCCAGTGGCCTCTTGTGCAGGAGGAACCAGGACAAGTATTTTGCCTAACTGTCCATTTTGGTCCAAATACTGGCTGTTGATATGTAAATTATTCGGTCTGACGACAGAAAAAAAAGTAGAAAGTTGTACATACTAAGCAATGCTGCTCTCACAGGAACACTGAAACTACAGAGCCATTATCTGACCAATTAATCAATAAAGTAATCATGATATAAACTGGGTGTCTCCGTTTAAATAAGTGGAATCTAAATCAGTTTACAGAAATTCACCCTCAAAGATTGTTTTCATCGTTGATGCCTTCAACAACTCTTCCCTCCTGGAAATGTATATACAAGACATCCAGCCGTGTCACATTACTCCTCCTGCTGATTCAATCACACAAACCTCTGAAAAAATCAATATCTCATGTAAGACCCCACGTACGAAACCATTTAAAATCCTTCTCTTCCGACGGGGAGGAGTAGGATTAGTGTCCCCAGACACAGGGGACCATGGTGGGATGAGATTTAGTCTAACAAAACAGGAGATTTCTGACGGGAATAATATCACCCCCCCAGGGAGGCCACAAGTTACTTCAGTAAGTGAAGAAACAAGAAACTACTACAAAACAAATACAATAGACCAGAGGACTAACTAAAAATAAGTGATCGCACTGTTCCTCTGTAAAACAAACATTATGGCAGTTTGACTGTCAAAGTTAGTTTGATTTAATAAACACCAAACTGTAGATGACACCGGGTATTGAAAAGTAACGTTACCCAACTACATTAAAAATACAATAATAAGTATTTTTGCTTTCTTCATATTACCAACTTTTTTTTTTTCTTTCAAAAATTATATTACACGTTACTCATATTTGTCTATTCTCCATCATTAGTTATTAGAAATGCCTCTTGGGTTTGGGTGGGTTGGAATGAGGTTAGTAATTGATAATCACTGAACACTGTCATTTGTTAGTGTTACCAACTTCTGGGCAAAACTAATCAAGAGATTTTTTGGGGAAAAGAAAAATCCTGTTATCATAGTGCACCAAAAACTACAAACTCCGAACCATCATAAAGTTGAATCAACAACTTCCTAAACTAGTTTAATCAAAACATGAATATTGTAACCTTCATGAGTGTAGGATGTATGGCAAACTTGTTGAAATGTGCCTACGTTAGCTTTCTGTACCTAATAAACTGAAAATAGAGTAAAATCTTGTCCTGACTTTCTCTTAAAACAGGTTTTGCTCTGATTCCACTGCTTTACATTCACATAAATCATCCAGAGCCTGTAGCAGAGATATCCTAACAGGATGAGGTTGCCACCACCAGGCTTTACTGTGGGGTAGGTGTGTTTCTGCTGATGTTTAGTGTTTAGTTTATGTAATATATGATTATAATGCTGCGCAAAAAGCTCAAATTTGGTCTCATCTTTTATTTCTGGAAACTCAGCATCTGTACATTATCAGTATCTCTCAGCAATGACACCCTGTGGCTCCTTCAGAGTTCACAGACCTCATGATGGCCACCATCACAAGCATCTTCCTCAAATAGACTACAGCTTCCTTTGCTCATCCAACTCATGCGTTAAATATTTGGTCTTCAGCTGCTAGATGGTTGACCTTGTTCATCTGTCGCTATGTAATTCCTTTTCCAGTTGTAATAATATGCAGAGAGACGACATCCTCTAAATTATGAAGGATAATGAAATTCTTGTCCTACCTCCACACAATCAAAAGTCTCAGTAACTTTTGAGGAGTATTTCACTTTGAAGAGGGTGCTCAGGTTTCCGGCCGTGTAGAAGAGCTGTATCTGAAGACCTTTGTATCCAAAAGCGACCTCGCTGCAGAAAAAGTGATTCGATCTTTAAAAAACCTTGTGAGGTTAAACATGCCACAAACTTCAAAGATAAAATGATAAAATAGCTGGTTCATGTTATATTTGGAGGACAAAACATCTGACTATTCTAATTTAACAAAATTCAATATAATCATTGAGTGGATGACCAATATTTGCTGGAGGTTTGGCCATGAATTTCAGACATGTTGCATTGTTCCCTTCACCACCACATGGCTGGCGGTTTATAGCAAAATAGATTTCATCATTATGCCATGTGTGATTGAGCTTTACTAGCAATTACGCTCGCTGAAATAATTAATGCCCTAATTAGTGAGTTCCCTTTGAGCTGATTGCAGCAAGAGCAAAAATAACCAATCCTAGTTTTGACTAATTTGGAAATGCAATTTGGAGCGTAACGAAATGCTGCTGTAAGCCTGCACACAGACACAGGTGTCACTGCCAACAACAACGTCAGGATAACAACGTCTCTCTTGTGTAACATATCAGGACAACAAAGTGACTCTTTGCAGCTTTTGGAGGCTAAAACAACTTGAAAGACAAGCCACATCTACACCACATACTTGACTTCATGTCAGAAAAGATGATACAATATAATAAAGTAGAGTCATGTTTCTAATTTAAAAGCTCTCGATACTAAAGGCCCAAAAAGAAACATGAGAGTACAATATAAGAATAATTCATGATGGATGAAACATATGTGAAAACAGAAAAGCTGTAGCATTGACAGGTCAGCTCTGGGGATTATGTTTTCTGTTAATACAATTAAAGAAATGGAAAATTCTGTCACATCAACGGGTTACGGAGAAAAGCACATGTTTTAAAGGTTTCTAAGGGAAATCAAGTCTGTTTTTGATGAGTCTGCCTTTTCATTTATGAAGCATGTTTTAATCTGTAAACAGTGTGGCAATTTGTGAAATATATAGATGTAAATGAGGGTCAAAGAGATTGTAAAATAGCTTTGAAACAATGCTCACAAATAATTAAAATGTCTGTAGATGTAAATTAACATTTGTAAACCTGTAAAGGTTTAAGCATGTGTAGAAAAAGAAAAGGGGACTGCTTATTTACAACTATACATTTTAGGTTAGACTTTAAACATTACTTTACAAGTGTAATAATGGTTTGACCCTAATTTGAGCACATAGAAATATGGATATTCACTCTTTTCCAACAGCATGATAAGAAAAAAACACATCAAACTAATGTCTGTGCATCAACTATAGAAATGAAGTTAGACCATGGTTAACCTTCCTTAGCATAAAGACTAGAAGCAGGAGGAAACGGCAAGAATGACTCTGAAATTGTACCCCAATCCTAGCCAAGTTTAATTTTTCAAGTGTGAATGGAGCCAAAAGACTATTTTTGACTGAATTTATAATGTACATTTAAAAACTGCTACGGGGGCTTTGGGCACATTCAGTAACATCGCTCCTGAGTATAAACTTAAAGGTACAGTGTGTAGAATTAAGTGATATCGAGTGTTGAAATTGCATGTTGCAGCTGAACACCCCTCACCTCACCCTCTCCTTCCAAACATGAGGCAGCCTTCTGTTGTCATAAATACTCAAAAGATGTTTAGTTTGTTCAGTCTGGACTAATTTAAAAAACATGGCGGCCTCCGTAGAGAGGAACCCATCGATGTAAATATAAGGTATTTGAATATAAAGGGCCTTTTCTGGGGTAAAGAAAACTACAATTCATATAATTTAGATGAAACGAACTAGTGAAAACATCATGAGGATTATTCTACATTAAATATCTGCCAATGGATCCCTTTCACCTGAATCTTACACACTGGACCTTTAAGGTCAATAATCTTACAAGTTAAGTTTGTCAACTCACAGGTGTGTATATTTATATGGATCTAAAGTGAGGCAGCACTGCTGAGGAAGATATAAGTTATGCGATAGAAATTATTTTTTTGCACAGGGCTTTGTTTCTCTATCACTATGAAAAGTAACATCATTATGATAAATTAAATTACTCACTCATCTCCGAAGATTTGGTGGCTGTATTCTGGGTGGAATGTGGTGCCATCATCTTCAACATCTTCAGGAAAGCGAACTGTGAGGAAAGAAGAGGAGAAGCAATTAAAACTCAGTCATCTTACTCATATACCGATATTATATGTATTATATATTTACATGTACAATAAAGAAAAACACTAACATACCAAGCTTCAAACAGATGGCTTCATTGGTGTCACACTTGTATTCAGCCAGCTTTTTCTCCATGGTATTTACAGCTGAGGAATCAAAGTTTTTTTATTAGTTCTTTAAAATGACCCACTTTCTACTTCTCCATTTCATCTCATACGTGGCACTGCAATGATCAGACAATTAGATAATACCTTTATGACAAATCTTATAACATAGGACAAGATGGTGAATATCCTTTGTACGTTTGAAGGTCTTCTGCACAATTTAAGTAACCAGCTACAATTAGACATTAGCAGGTGTTAGCGGTCACCAGCGGATGTTAGGGACATAACTATTGCAGTTGTTCACATTAGCGTCATCAAGTGTTTTGGCCTTGCAATCAACGATACAGGCCGAACTTGATTGTACGCTGAGGCTACAGGCAAATCTTTATTTTCATACATGATAGTGAACTGAACACTATCGGTTGTTAAGACAACAACACTCTCTACTGTCACCCGGGCCTGTTTTTTTTTGTTGTAATTTTTGATTGTGTGCTGGTTATATTCTTAATTTATTACTTTGTCTATAAAATGGCTAAAATAGTCAGTCCACTGTATTTAGCCAGTTTTTATCATATTATCAAATGTTTGTTGTGTCTGCACAATTTGCTAACAGCAGACAATCATTTTTTAATGACATAAAGCAAATCATCACATTAAAGAACATGGAGCCATTGAATATTTATAATTTCTCTAACAGCAGAATTGATTCACTTACTATCAATATAGTCAAGGCCTTGTTTTTTGGTGATGACCTGATTCTCTATACCTCCAATATTCATACACTTTGAAGTTGCATTAGCCTCATGTGAGTAACACAGAAGACAGTGATGTGCTTCAGATAGATAGATGGATGGCTAGATGGGTAGATGAATAGATGGATAGATAGCTTTGAGTGCCATCCTCCTTTCAAACTAAATATCTGTCAGGATTAACACACGAATGTTCTGAAATTGTAGTAAGTGTCAGATGAGGTAACATCAGCTGTTGGCTCAATATATTAACACTGTGTCGTGTGAGAAAACACATAGACGCGCTCACTATCATCACTGAGCACGCGCCAAGTCATTGAAACACACATTAAACGTGAAACCCCAGCGTTACATAAACACATGAACACAATACACGCCATGGCAGCCTGCTAGCATGCTACTGTTGTTAGCAGGCAGGCCCCCACTGCTGTCAATGCAACGCTAGCTAGCTTAGCTCGCTGGACAGAGCACAATGCTCAACCCCAGCGGTGTTAAAGTAGGACTCACGCAGAGTTATCAGTGAAAACACATAAAAACACAGACAGGGCAATAAAGACGTGGACGCATTTAGCTGCTTACCCGCCATTTCTGCTCTCTGTGTACTACGGAGCTGTGTTGTCCCAAAAGACCCGCGGAATCGGAACAACTTCCGGGTCCTCGTATTTCCGCGGAAACAGGATGTAGTTTTTTTTTTTCACGGCGCTTGTAGATTTCAAGATTATTTTTTTATTCTGTTAGTTTGCAACATATTATCTCTTAAATGAAACAAAACAGGTGTGTTTGCATGGAAT